ATTTCCTATTGTGAAATTAATACAACGTGTTCGGTGTTCCTCCGACCCAGTCTCCTCTGTGCGCTACTTTTTTTTCAAAATTGGCACTTTGAGCCGTTGTATCTCAGAAACTAGACGTTTAAATCAAAATCTAATCTAGAACTTCTATTGTAACTTTTTACGCTCTATCCGAATCATCAAAAACCCATTTTGGGTTTATAGGCACTTTAACATTGTTACTAACTACAGCCTGATCAGTTGCTAAGAGTTGTGCTCCTATTTGAGAATACTCCACTTCATCGCGCAAGTCTTGCAACTCTTGTTCGATCTGTTCTTGTACTAGCCTTTGTTTAGCTCTTCTCTCTGCCTGTTCTAGTTTTAATTTTGTTAACTCAGTTGACCGGGCTGCAGCTTTCGCCTTAGCTGACACCGAAGACGCCCCTGAACGTCTGCTCTTTGACGATCCCGACATGGAAAAACTACTATGTACTGACACAGAAAGTTTGTCGTCATCCCTAAGGTGATGATAATCCTTATACTCTGAGCCTCTTTGTAAGCTGCAAATGCTTTTGTTGGTCTATAGCTAATTGATTGCAGTCATTAATTTTTCGTTCGAGGCTTTGGCGTTGCACGCTAAGACGTTCCAACTCACGGGAGTTAGTGACTAGTCGAGAATAATCTTCATATGTTTGCAAGTATTTCAGCCAATTTGAGTGCATTGTTTCTAAAGTTTGTTCAATTTCCGGCTCAATACTAGCAAAGTCGTGATTTTTTAACGACTCGATCGATATTTCAATAATTTTCGAAAGTTTTAATAAATCATGCTTTAGTCCTTTGGAATGGATGTCATTTAAATACTCTGCGTACTCACGTGGCACCTTTCTGGTTGGTGCGAGATGTTTTTCGTAGACTGACATTACTTCCGGCTTGCTGATTTCGTTGATCGCGAAGCTCGTCGAGCTGTTTTGCCCTTTTCTCATCCATGAAAGATCAAACTATGTTGGAAACGCATCCAACCGAATATCATTCAATAGCACTCTTGACAATCACCATCATCATTACACATTATTTACTCTCAATAGGTTCTTTAATAACATATCTCTCATATTTCAAATGTCAATATTAATATAACAATACCAAAGTATCAGTTCCTTTCGGATAATATCAGTGTCAAATAAAGGTTTGCTATAACAAATTACAGAGTAAGGTTAATTAGAAATAGGTACAAACAGTACTAAGTCAAATAAAAGAATATACTTACATCTTATGGCGATATTTAGAGCGAATTTAATGTATATCTTTTAATATCAACAATTTACAAAAATGTGTACTCGCCTCTTTTCCTGGAACTATATAAATTATGCTAATGTCAATAAAACGGCGCGAAATAATTGTATTAATTATGGCAGCGTCCGTAACATCCCGGCCCCCCAATGAGCGTATCACGTAGCTCATTCAGTTCTATTTTCCAGCTTCAAGAAAACATAGCTTCTGGATTGGACGTTTCAGAACATTGTTTTTCGTTTTCACTTGGGCAATTCTGACAAGGCCATCCTTCCCAGGAAACACATTTGTAACTCTTCCCAGCAACCAACGTCCTCTCGGAATGTTCTCGTCCACTAGGATTACAAGATCACCAATCGACAGATTCCGTTGAGGTGTAAGCCACTTTTGTCTAAGTTGTAAAGTTGGCAGATACTCGCGTAACCAGCGTTTCCAAAAATGATCACTCAGAATCTGTGATTGTCTCCAACTCATCCTACTGTACAAATCAGCATCGTCAAATTCTCCAGGAGGTAGAGCAATCGCTGGTCTTTGAATTAAAAGATGATTTGGAGTTAGTGGCTCCATATCTCGAGGATCATCCGAATTCGGGCACAAAGGTCTAGAGTTAGCTATGCCTTGGGCTTCTGATAGCACTGTCCTTAAGACCTCTTCCTTGACTAAGCCTTGTCGTAGAATGGCCTTTAACGATCGCTTAACGCCGCGAATTAGCCTTTCCCATACGCCTGACATGTGCGACGCGTATGGCGGGTGGAAAATCCATTCTACTCTTCTCTGCTTTAGACGTTCTTCGATTTGATTTTGATTCCATCCTTCCAAAGCTTCACGCAACTCACGTTCTGCGCCCACAAAATTTGTACCATTATCTAAACGCAGTTGTTTGACGTTTCCACGAATATTTAGGAATCGCCGTAAAACCATAATAAAATCGTCAGTTTCCAAAGATTGGGCTAGTTCTAGATGTATCGCTCTTGAAGCCATGCATAGGAATATGCATCCATAACGCTTCGCAGAACCTCGTCCGTGTTTTACCATAAGTGGACCGAAAAAGTCTATCCCTGTATTTGTAAAGGCAGGTTGAAAGGGGGTCAGTCCACCTTGGGCAATTCAGCCATTTCTTGCGTCATTCGTTCGGCATATCCCTTCCTGCACATTATGCATTTTCCAATCACTCGCTTAATAGTTGCTCTGCCTTTGATAATCCAAAATTCTTCACGAAGTCGAGATAACAACTGTTCTTGGCCGCAGTGCCCAAGTTAATGGTGGTAAAAACGAATTATCAAAGTTGTAACGGGGTGATTCTGCGGTAGAATCATTTGATGTTTGCTATCAAAGGTACTTGGTGCTTCTGATATTCTACCAGAGACTCTTAAAATTATATTCCATCCTTACATAACATCGGCTTCAGCTTCACAATCGAACTCGATTTCTTCACACCTGGTCGACCGGTTTTATCCTTTCCTTTAAGATCTTGCAATTCCTCAAGGAATAACTGCCTTTGAACAAGTGAAACGACTATTTGTTTAGCTGACGTTACGTCTTCCTCCGTTAATCTGTTGCATTCTGAATGTTTGCCATTTTGGAGCCACTCTTTGAATTTAGATAACCAAGCTACAGATTTGAGTAGTTTTAACCAATCTGAGTATCTTTCGAAGAGTTGATAGAGCGTAGGGCTTGCCGTTGTGTCAAGGCGAGTCACACAGGTCGTTCTTCTTTTTGATCTCCAGTTCACCATCAGGTATCTCCTTCACTTGTTGGTCCGGCCATGAATCTCTATGGTTCCAAAGGAACTCTGGATCTCGTAACCACCGTTCTTGTTCTATGTATTGCTGAGAGTCTAAACCACGAGAACAATCGTCCGCGGGATTCAATTCTCCTGGGCAGTGTCGCCATTGTGTCGGCTCAGATAATTCTCGGATTTCATTTACTCGGTTTGCCACGTACGTTTGAAACCGTTTCGTAGTGTTGTGAATATAGGATAGTACTATCATACTATCCGTCCAGAAAAGTGTTTCGTGTACAGTTATATCAAGTTCTCTCTGAATAATTTTATTCATTCATACAGCCAATAACGCACTTTGCAATTCAAGTCTTGGAATCGTAGGCGACCGAATTGGAGCATTTCTCGACTTTCCCATGATAAACGAGCAATTACTGGTTCCGTCGCTGTACAGGATGTGTAAGTACGACACGGTGCCGTATCCTATCTCGGAGGCGTCACAGAAATGGTGTAATTCGACAACGGCATCATCGTGATCTGGCAGGCGGTAGAAACAACGAGGAATGCTTATTTGTGTCATCAGTGGTAGCAATGATTTCTAATTAATCCAAGATTTCAGTAAGTCAGCCTCCAAAGGATCGTCCCATTTCAATTTTCTCCGCCAGCAAACCTGAAGAATTTGCTTAGGAGGTAAAAGCACTGGTGCAGCAAATCCCATTGGATCATAAAAGGAAGAAACACACGAAAGTACACCTCTCATGGTATTAGGCTTGTCACAAGGCTTTATCTTAAAGCAAAACGTGTCGTCTTCAACATTCCAATGTACACCTAACGTGCGTCCAATGGGGAGTTGGTCAAGATCTAGATCGAGGTTGGGCAAGGCTCTTTTTTCAGCGGGTATTGCTTGGAGAACTGTCCGACTATTTGACATGGATTTAGTCAAATTGAAGCCACCTCGTGAAAGCAAAGACATGGAACTCGTAGCTACTTCAATGGCAATATTTTCGTTCTATAAGGCCTTTAGCATATCATCGACATAGAAATGTCTCAGAACAGTGTCAACGACAAGATCGGTAAATTCGTCCTTATTATCTTCGGCAGTCCTTTTAAAGCAGTAATTCGCACAACACGGCGAGTCTGTTGCTGCTAAAACGTCTACTGTCATTGCGTATTCGTCCGGTATTTCTTCAAGACCTTCGCTCCACCAAAGAAATCGAAATGCATCCTGGTCTTCTGGAGATACCTTCACCTGATTGAACATACCTTCAATATCCTCCACTAAAGCAATATTATCTTGCCGAAACCTAATCATGACGCCAACGAGACTGTTCGTGTAGTCAGGGCCTTGCAATAGGTTCTGGTTCAAGCATGTATTTTCGAATTTCGCAGCTGCGTGGAAAACAACTCTGACCTTTTCAGGCTTGTTTTTATTAATAACGTGATGATGAGGAATGTAGTTTGTCTTGTCCGTTATAGTATCAGCTTCCTCCTTTGTTAACGTTCTGGCGAACCCCCTTTCAATGTATTCCTCCATGACTTTTCGATATTTGATTTCTAGGTCTGGGTTATTGTAAAACTTCTTCTTTAAAGATTTTAGCCGTTTCTCTGCCACCGTCCTATTATTGGGGAATCGTGGGCAATCGTCCTTCCACAACAAATCTGTCTCATAATGTCCGTCTACGAGTTTCGTGCTCCTGTGAAGAATATCTTCGGCTCGGCAATCTTCAACGGATACAGTTTTCGTTAAGTCGTTCTCTCTTAATCCAGACGTTTCAATTTCCCCGAATTTCTCTACTTGTCGATTGAGCAACCGATTGTTGGTATCAAGAAAGTTAACTGACAGCTCTTTCTTTAAAACACCATTCACCTCTACGCTGCCAGCGATAGTCCATCCAAGTGCTGTTCTGGTTGCATACAGCTCACATTCTGGAGTCTCAGACACTCTAACTTCTTGCACAATATGCGCTCCCTTAACATCTTCTCCGATAATTATAGAAACTTGTTTTAGTTCGACTTGATGCATAGTTATATCAGCTAAGTGCTGGTATCTTTCGCAGTCAATCTCATTTGGAAGAACTCTTTCATTTACATTGAGCTCCTTGACTAATCCTTCGCTCACTTATAGAATTGGGTCAGCGTGTCCAGCTGTTGCAGCTTGGAGAAACAAGCATACTGATTCAAATTCGCAATCCTGGGTTCCAAGTACTGTCGTAACAGCCACCGACTGTTTGGTTGTCTTCACATTCAGTTTCTTTGCTAAGTTCGCATCAACAATGGTTCCACGGCTTGCGTTGTCAAGCAGTCCATATGTTGTGACAGAGTATCCATCCATTGTTGAGACTGTTAACAGGTACAATATGTAAAAGTACAAGATTTTCTCTTTCTTGCGTCATTGTCGCATAAGATGCCATTCTCTGTTGTCGACTGCTTCAATCTGAGACCTAGGTGGTTCATGTCTAGGTACCATTTCTGATTTCTCAGATTCTTTCTGCGGTTGTCCCTGGATACTACTAGAAGATTCATGATCATAGGACTGGGATTTAGAGTAGTCCTTTGGTGGCAGGATTCTTCGATGAAGGAGTGGGTGATGTTTGGAAATGGCCTTACATCTACACATCGTGGGTGATTTACATTGTGCTTTCATGTGCCCTGAAGCTAAGCATAAATGACAAAGTTTCGAAATCTTTATGATTTCCCATCGCTCTTCGGGTGTTTTCTTAACAAACGACGTACAGTTTATCAGTGGATGTTTGCCTTTACAGCAAGGACAAGGACGCAAGTTCTCAAGGTTTGTTGTCAGCTTCGAGATTGGACTTAAAGGTATTGGTTTATAAAATTTGTTCTTATAATATGCGTTAGAGTCATTGTTCTTGGAGTCAAACGTTTTTTTGTTGTCAAGATGTGTCCATACTGGGGATCATTCATAATTCTTAGTTGTTCTTCCACGAGTTCCAAGACATTCTGTAACGTGGGATTCACTTTGGTCTGATCGCGAATTTTTGGGACTTTCTTTGCCCACTCTATCTGCATGTGCATCGGCAAACGATCGATAACTCTTTCAACATTGGATGACGCATTAATTTCATGTTTATATTTCTTATTGTCCATTAAGACTTCTAAACAAGCACGCAAATTATTTCTCAGCTTAGTGAGAGAGTTATTATCTCCTCTTTCAATGCGAGGACCTGCTGTGATCCGTTTTAAACATGCTTTAACTACGCTAGAAGGATGACCGTACTGAGACTCTAATATTTCCATGGCTTCAGTATAACTATTTGATTTGAGTTCACAATGTTCAATGGCATCTCTAGCATCACCTTCAACGAAATTGAGCAGGCGAGTTAGTTTCTCCCTTTCTTCAAACTCTCTTTCATTTAACCAAGTGTCAACTCGCTTCTTAAATACTGGAAACTGGGCAGGGTCACCTCTAAACATTATGGGCTGGGGTTTTGGAATCCCTTGCCGCTGTAACATAGCTTTCATAACAGTGGTTGTTTCAGTTCCTTGCTTAATAGCATTAACTAGTTGCTTGTTCATTTCGAGTAATGCATCTGTATACAGGGTGTATCTAAAAAAACGGAGTCGTCCTAAATATCCTTATTTCTATCGTAAAATAAACTACAATAGTTTCGTTTTGTGCTCAATTTAAAGCTTGTTTTTTCATCTTTCGAATGAAGGGTTTCTTGAAAATTTTAAACGAAGGCTAATCGCAATAAAAAGAATTTAGTACAAGCGCTCGTTTTTAGATGCTTCGAAATATTAATCTTCGAAGTCCCTTGGGGACTTAATTAAAGGTAGTTTGCTAAAATTTAGAACGTTGTTGTTTAAAAGTTTACAATCACCATTCATAATGCCAAAGCTAACAATTCCGGAAAGAACATTCATTGTTGAAAAGTATTTCGAAACAAAAAGCGTTGTTGCAGTGTTAAGACAATTTCAAATAGCTTTTCCAGGGCTTAATCTTCATCGATCGAGCGTTTGGCGTAATGTCAACAAACACCGGCTACATATGCATTGAATGGAAGAACCACCCCATAAAGTTTAAATCGAAATAAAGGAAACTCGGGAAACTTGGATATGAGACAAAGAACGAACTTGTGTGAACTTAGAAATGGAGGCAATGCACGTTGAGTAAATGTGTACTTCCAACTTATTTTTTGGAACGTTTAAATTAATTGTGAATTCAACACATCTACGTTTTTTAATTTTCCAATTGCACTTACTTAAATTGACACAGCTCGCCAGCAATAACTCCAAATTTTATAAAATAAAGTATATAAAATAGCCGAAAGATCGCGATTTCGAAAGAATGCAAGTATAAATGTTTAACTTTCATATTCGCTTTGAAATTTACACTTTATGTGAGGACTCCGTTTTTATTGATACACCCTGTATTCTTGCTTAGTGTTCTCAATACCTAAGCTGAACCCAGGCGATAATGGTTTGGTGTCGTTACATTTCGTAGGAGGGGGAGTGATTCCTTTCTTGTCATGCATTAACGACTCAGGTGTGATCAGTTCATGCACTTCAGCTTGTGTCAGGGATTGACCTTTCTCGCACACAGCCCCTTTCGTTGGTGTTGAACTTGCTAATTCTGCTGGTACATTAAAGTGCCTATAAACCCAAAATGGGTTTTTGATGATTCGGATAGAGCATAAAAAGTTACAATAGAAGTTCTAGATTAGATGTTGATTTAAACTTCTGGTTTCTGAGATACAACGGCTCAAACACTCAAATTTCGCCATTTTTGAAAAAAAAGTCGCGCAAGTCAAATTCACTGCAAAAGCCTGGGTCGGAGGAACACGTTCTTCGCGTTCAGTTGCTTTTCTATAATACAAGTAGACGCAACTTCGAGAGTTTTTGACTTAAAATGCCTAAACGGTGTGTCGTTTACGGTTGTTCCAACGTTGCTGACACAAAGAAGGGTATTTCTATCTACCAAATACCTAGTTTTTGGAATGATAATTCGCCCGTAGCGGTCAGGAGAAGATGGCTGAGCCTTTGTTCGACACAGAGTCGCAGACGAGACAAATGAATCCAACTAGTGTGCTCAAAGCATTTCACTGAGGAGTGTTTTGTATACGGTTCTGAAAGTGTGGAAAAGTAAAACACGCCGAGACTACAGTACATAAAAATCAACTTTCTGGCAGTGCGAAATCAGAGCGCACGAGTCGCATGAAGCGAAGGGAGGTACTGTAAGCTAATAATACTTTATTTTTATTCACCAGAACTCGCATCATTAGCGCGTTTATTTACATATATTTGATTTGTGAATCAAACCTTTTCCTGTTATAAACTTATATTAAGGTATTTGTATAAAGTTTAAACGTTCTTATGTCGTGTAAACAGAGTCAGTCGAGAACAATAGAACTGCATGTCCTTAATATGGCTCATGTCGTGTATCATAACACATGGGCCAACGAAATTTATTAATATTAAATACCCTTTTATTACCTCCGCCAGGAGGTTATGTAATCATCTTTACCTCCGCCAGGAGGTTATGTAATCATCTGGGTTTGTATGTGTGTGTATGTGTGTGTGTATGTGTGTGTGTGTGTTTGTCTGTGAGCACGATAACTCAAGAAATACCAAATATATCCGTACGAAATTTTTTGAATGCATTTCCCATCGGCTAAGGAAGAACTGATTAAAATTTGGTTGAATTTGGTTAAAAATTGAACGAGAAATGAACCAAATTTTGTCTTGCTTTTCCCGGTCAATTAACAAAATATATTACTGAATGCGTAATTAGGACGTGTATAATTTATGCACTCAGTGCTAAGACAATAATGAGATGATAAACCTCATTAAGCTTCGGTATACGCATTATTACGTTCAGCAAAGTGCCAGTCCATTCAAATTCTAACAACATTAGATTACTTCAATACAGGGTGTATAAAAAAAACGCAACCTCGGAATTTCCCAAGAAATCGACATTGTTTTGAAGGCAAAAGATTTTAGCTGCCTGGGAATTTAAAATAGCACAACTGTGAAAATTACTGCACGCGCGAGTGCATAAAGCAAAATTTATGCATTTATTTAATGACACTTAATAAGTTTTATTTTACAAGTACTGTACAGTACAACAACAGTAATATGATCTTTAGCAATTCGATTTCAATTCGCGGGGCCTGAAATCTTTTATGCTTAAGAATTGCAAAGTGGTTTTCTTAGGAAATTCCAAGGTTGCGTTTCACTTCCGAGTAACGGGCGGAGGTATGCAGTCTCTGAGTGCCCTCTAGTTATTATTGTTATTATTATTATTATTATTATTATTATTATTATTATTATTATTATTATTATTATTATTACATGCTACACGTCAGGAAGGAACGTCTGTGTTTTATAAACGAAAATACGACTTTATACTATTTTCTTGTTGTTGAAATTCCTGCACAAAATCCAGCTTGCTGTGTAAACGAGACAAATTCGAACAGACGAACGCAGAAAGGCAATAGTTTAAACGATTTTGTGAAACTCTATGTCAGCGATAGCAAGTCAAATGACTAATCGAAGGCAATATAAACACAGGCGTAAATGGACAGATCAAATGAACGAGGATCTTTTGAGTTGCAAACGCGAGGCTGTGGCAATGACACAAATGGAACAACCACCGTTGGATGGAAATAGCAAGAAAAAAGGCTATATTAAACTCATGAAGGAGCTATGGGATGCGAAAGCATATAATGATTTTGCTAGAGTAGTCAACGTCTTTCGAAACCAAAGCTTATCGCTTTTGAAATAAAGTATTCTATTTATCATCCATCAATACAGAAAGCGGGAAGAAAGAGGGACACCCACGCGAGAGCACAAATCCGCGAGTTATTGCCGATGCAACTCAGGTTCTTAATCAGCACTACGCCAGATAGTTTATCAGCACTCTAGAAATTTATTCATACTGATTATTGTTATAAAGAGATCATCGTTTATCATGTTAACTATTATTAAACCTTTCCAAAAAAACCTTTGCAAGACGAACCATTTTCTCGTACACAGAGTCCTTGTTTTGAATCCGGTTTTGTCTACTTCGAGTCCGGGTTTTCAAAGGTCAAGTCCGGGTTTTGTTAAACACGAGTCCGGATTTTTTTCGAGTCCGGGTCCAGGTTTTTCTCGAGTCCGGATTTTCTTCGAGTCCGGGTTCGAGTCCGGTCCGGGTTTCAAAGTATGCCTTAGTCCACACGGGAAATTCACGGAAAGCAAAAATTAATTTCGGCTCGCCTCCGAATTTGCACAAGGCAGTGGCAATTCTGCGTGGTTTTTGAAAGAACAAGGCAATTAGATTTATTTCTTATACGTTGTGCGCGGCTTCGGGAAGACAGACATGCTAAACAT